TGCTCTATGGGACGTGGTGTCTAGGGGTAGTAATGTGCTCTACTTGAGGTGGTGTCTAGGGGTAGTAACGTGCTCTATTGGACATGGTGTCTAGGTGTAGTAATTGTGTAATTATTCACAGTGGACGATGATAAATAACACTGCTCAGTCCCTGGGGACAAGCACATCCAAAGGAAACTGACTTTTTCTTATCACTATTGTTTCAACTGTCTGCTCACCTCACAGCCAAGCTTCTTGAAACAACTGTGGCTCCTCGTTGTTTGGAACCCTGTACGTCCCAGTCACCTCTCCACTCCCGCAGCTTCTGGTACCCTCCCCCGAGCGTGTTCCGGGGACCGTGACATACATGTATGTCACCAGACATCATCACAACCATGAAGAGAATAACACACACAAAAAGCATCACAGTGCATCACATATAACATTGTTCTATATACGTGTATATGGTTGTACTAAACCATGGTATAAAGTCTACTTCTAACAGAGGATGGTGTTCAAAAACAGTTGAGCGCCTCTGCCCAAACGTCACTACTAGGGCTCTGAAGGACAGTCTCCATCTTCTGTCAGCGCCCTCTCTCCAGCACTTGCAAATGTTCTCAGCATCTCCTCCTGAAACTGTTCCCTCCTCCATTCTTTTGATCCCACACTCTACTGTCTGGATCCTTATCCTGGCCACTCTCTACTATCTGACACCCCCCTTTCTTGGTGTACCTAAACTGCCGGCCTCTTCAGTGACCCTGCCTATATTTCTACTCTCTTGAAGAGTTTATGTACGCTTAATCTTATTTCTTCTTCTAATCTTTGGTAGAATTTTCTGATGAAGCCATCTGGGGAAATTATATTTATTGTGAAGAACTTTTTTTGTGTGTGTGTGAGGAAGATCAGCCCTGTGCTAACATCTGGCAATCCTCCTCTTTTTTTGCTGAAGAAGACTGGCCCTGGGCTAACATCCATGCCCATCTTCCTCTGCTTTATATGGGACACCGCCACAGCATGGCTTGCCAAGCGGTGCGTCGGTGTGCGCCCAGGATCCGAACTGGCGAACCCTGGGCCGCTGCAGTGGAGCGCGCACACTTAACCGCTTGTGCCACTGGGCCAGCCCCTGAAGAACTTTTTTTTCATACAAATGCAAATGCTTTTGTAGTTATGGACTATTCACATTTTCTGTTTCATTTTGTCAGCTTTGCAAGTTACATTTCTCATCAAATTTGTCTTTTTTGATTAAAATTTCAAAGTCCTAAGCTTAAAATTGTTCATCATACCCTTATGTGTATTTAATGTTTGCTGGATCTGTAGTGATGCCCTCTTGCTCATTCTTTTTTTTTTTTTTTAAAGATTTTATTTATTTATTTTTTTTCCCCCAAAGCCCCAGTAGATAGTTGTATGTCATAGTTGCACATCCTTCTAGTTGTCGTATGTGGGACGTGGCCTCAGCATGGCCAGAGAAGCAGTGCGTCGGTGAGCGCCCGGGATCCGAACCCGGGCCGCCAGCAGCGGAGCTCGCGCACTTAACCGCTAAGCCACGGGACCAGCCCTCTTGCTCATTCTTAACATCATGTATGTGTGTGTTTGCGTGTGTGTGTGTGAAAGCAGGCACACTTTCCACCTATTATTTGATTCATCAGTTTTAGTGGAGTTCATTCATTTTATTAACATTTTTATGGAACCAAATGTTGCATTTTATTAATCCTCTATCACAGGAGGGTCTTTCTCTGTGGCTCACCCGCATTCTGAGAGACTCACCAAATACAGTACTGCTTTTATAGGAAGAGGAGACACAAACTGATTTGGATGGGGTTATCTTGAAATAATTCAGACTACTAAACCCCAAGAAACTCCACTGAAGTGCAGGCCCCTTCGTTTTCCCTTGGTGTGCTGTGTGTTTAAAGTCGCCTGGGGTACCTGCTCCTTCCTGTTCACCAGGACCTTCCAGCCTTATGTTCTCCGTGGAGTACACCATCGTGGTGTCCTGTGGATACATGAAATGATCGATGTTCCTGCAAAGCAGATTTTGACAGAGAGAAACTGATAAACCCTGAGATACACCAGGGAAGCCGTGCTGGTGTCCCTCCACGCATGTTAGAGGCCTGCATTATGTTGCTTTAGTCACCCGAACAGACCTCATTTGCAGCAGTAAATGCAATTGAAGTTGCCATCTAACTAAGTTTGTGAAAATGTCCAAGACCCTTCTTTACACAGATTGAAAGGGGAAATCAAATGGGGAAGTGACCAAAATCACCACCTCTGAATCTTCTCAATATTCAAATCATCGATTTCTGGATTTCCTTGGGGAAGTTATATTGCTATTAGTGAGTTTGTTGTTTACTCTCCATGTGGACCATGCCAGCAGAGCAGGCTAGGAGAACCAATGTGATGGTGCCATTACTTGGTCAACACATCTGTTTCACCCACGTTTTCAAGTCACGGTGACACTCACAAGATGTCCTTATGGACCTTCAACACATTGTGAAATACACACGGGAAAAACTTTCCTCACCCCGGGTAGAGGGCTAAGGTACAAAAAAGATGCTTTCAGGGCCGTTTCCTTGGTCCTTTGATCAGCCCTTGAACCACATATTTAAAGTCGTGATGTATCATGTTCTCTGTTTATGTGCTCCAGAAGCCATCGGATCATGTCCTCGTTATATTGTATTCCTCGTTCTGTCCAAAAAGGCCTGTTGGAGCAGTCCTTTAGGCTGGCCTCCTCCACTCAGGTGACCAGAGGTCAACTTCCATAAACATTTGCCATGTGTGCTCTGGACATCTTGTGCCCATTTTTCAATACTGATGGGATCCACTCTGCCTCTAAACCAAAGCAGATGGTGTGACTAAGCCCAGATTCTCATACCCTTGGGAGTTTGTTACTTCAACCATTCCTGGTACCAACAGCTGCAGTTCAGTCACATTTACTTGGTTGAATCGCAGTCTACCAGTGGCTTACAAATCATAATAGGGACACCAGATTTACCAAAAAATGAACAGCAAGTAGAATTTGCATTTCAGAAAACAATGCAGTGCTCACCAAATGTCTTATCTCATGGACTTGGGGAAAGGAAGGCTTTCTTTGCCATTTTATGGGATGTTGGGGGATGGATGAGAAGGTTAGATTAGTATATTCACTTTGATATTCTTATACTCCTAAATCTTTAGATATTTTCCTTTATAGCAAGGAATACATGTGTGGTAGCAGAATAAAGGCCCTAAAAGATATCCAAGTTTGAATCTGTTTTTTTTTTTAACGTCAAAAGAGACTTTGCAGATGTGATTAAGTTAAAGATCTTGAGATGGGAAGAGTATCCTGGATTATCCAGGTGGATACAAAGGTTCTTAAAAGCTGAAGGGGGAAGCAGGAGAGGCAATGTCAGAGTGACGCAACACGAGGAACACTGCAACAGCCGTTGCTGCTCTTACACTGGGGCATTGAAGATGGAGGGGCTATGATCCGAAGGAGGGCAGCCTCTAGAAGCTGGAAAAGGCAAAGAAAGAGTCTCCCCTAGAGCCTGCAGAAAGGAATACGGCCATGTCAACATCTTGATTTTAGCCCGGTGAGACTCATTTCACAATTCTGATCTCCAGAACTGTAAGATAATAAATGTGTTGTTTTAAGCCATCAGGTTTGTGGTAATTTGTTACAGCAACAATAGGAGACTATTACAACCTGAAACACTAATGCCACTTTGTACAGGCCCTTCCTGAGATCAGTTTCTAGGCAGCCGCTCTAGTTAACGATTAGAAGTGCCCCAGCTCTGTGAGCTACAATATTGAGCCCAGACCTTCTGGTAAGTGCACCAATATCTAGACATTCATTCAGTCCCATAACATATGCAGGCTTTCCTTCATAGTCTAAGACTCACAGAATCAACTCAATAACAACGTGTTGCTGAATTCACACTTTTGTTTGTTTGATTTTGGCAGATGGTGAATAAATATTAAATAAAAATAAATAAATAAAAAGGTCAGTATTCCCTTTCTATTATCATCTCCTTCATTTTGAGGGCGTGCTTGTGTCTGATTTTCATTTTCAGTCTGAATATAGTGATGTGTTCTTGGTAAGGGACACTGGTTGGCTTTCCTTTGCAAGATGACTTTGTGGGAGATCAAGATTTGGCCACCCTGAAATCTATCTCTTTACCTTGGTTGTTTTCTCTAGGGACATTTGACCTCCCCCACTAACTGCCTAAAGAATTTGACATGGTGGCTCCTTCCTGGAACAGATCTATCATGATGGCTGTAAAGATAACGTAGGGTAAATGTTACAATAGGAAAGGCACCAACAAGCCCCTCTTATCAGAAGTTCTGTCTCTCTGGCCACATTCTCTGGATGACCCTGCGAGGAGTTGCCAGACAATCATTTACATTTATAAGGGAAATCTCCATTTGTAAAGGTATCTCCCTCTCTGTTTGGAGAAGAGAGGGGGATGAGCTCATTTCTAGTGACTTATCAATGTGGAAGGTAAGGCCTTAAATCTGCATAATAAACCTTACTCTTGTTTACTGTGCTTTAGTGGTAATCTCCTGTAACTGACTCCCCCCACCCCCAAAATCCTCCCCAAAATCCTCCTTTGTCATTGGCTGAACATGGTATTTAGGACGAGAATTTCTGCTATTGTGTTGAGAAACGCAGTGTCCCTGCTTTCTCCCATGTATACATGTTATTAAACTTGGTATTATTTTCTCCTGCTAACCTGTCTTGTTAATTATTTGGCCAGCCAGAAGAACCTTAAGGGAAAGGGCAGAGGGAGATTCTCTCTCTTCCCCCGACAACTTCCTCAGGGCTTTCAGTCAAGGAAGGAAGAGCCTCGTTATCCAAGACCAGAGGGAGCGCCTCACCTGACAAGAGACTTGTTGGGGGCTGGGATTCAGGTTAATTATAGTTATCAGAAATTCGCTCAGATATTCCCGTTCTGATTCTAAGCTCATATTCTTTTCCAATCAACGCCCTAACTTCAAACAAGAGTCTACTCCGGATGTTAATTCAACCGACCTTTAGCATAGTCATGGCATGTTCCATGTTTTTAATCTGAGACTAAATATGCTGATTCCTAAATATCTTAACGTCTTCAGCCCCAGTGGCAGCAACCACTTCACCTACTAGTCTTTGCTTTCTTCATGCTCTTCATACTGACACTTGGTTCTCCAAACTGCTGTCTCTAATGCTGTAATTGAATTGTATTCAGGCTACATAATTCCCTCAGTTTATGGTTATGAAACAATATTAAAATCAAAACATATTTGTTTAAGTAAATCATTGCATATGATTGTATTCATAAGGATATGTGATTATATGAATATACATAGCAGTTCATACTTGAAATCAGCGCATTGACCATGACTTTTTATTTGTACAGAATGGTTGGCTATTAGAAATTATTAACATACTGCTGTTTTACAGAGTCTGTTTAATTTATTCTAAGATTTTGCTAAGCGTCGCTATCAAGCTTATTACGTTGTAGATTTCAGAATCAGTCAATGTCCCTCTTATCAACTGGGATTTTTGCAGTATTTAGTATTCTATGACCTCCCTCATTCTAGTTTGTTTATTAAAAATATTACTAGTGCATCTCAGATTAACATGTGTATAAATTGTTTCAGTATTCACAGATGTAATCATTCTGAGTCTATATATGTGGATATAACTTGAAATAGTTACTCTTGTTATTTCAGTGCCTAGCTCTATAATTCTTCATCGTGAAGAATTATGTGATTTTCCTGTGATACTTTTATAAAATTTATATCCTAAATTCATAGCTATAATCATTCTTTCTTTATACTTGCCATACTCTGTTGTCACAGCATGTTTGTGGACAAAATTTTACTACCCAATTCCAAAATCCACTTTTATTCCGCAGCGTTGTTACCATTTACACAGGATTGACGCTGCCCCTGGCCATGTGTTCCCCTCAATCTTGTCATACAGCCTCGAGACCCTCGACAGTGACGGGGATAATGCCAGAGTCTGGATGGCAGGCCTCTGCACTCTCATCCCTGCATTCCGTCTTTTCACCTTCCCCCACGCCCACCTGTGGTGGTCAAAACTCTTAGGTTGCTTTCCTTTTATTTTTATCTTCCAGGCAAAGAAGTTCCATCCACTTCTGATCAGGTAATAAAAACAATTATTACATTTTTCTGATAAATGTCAAAATATAGATGACTTTATATAAGTGTAGCTGTAGGTCTTTATTTGCAATTTCTGAATGGATTTGTCAAAGTCTTTCGTATTTTAAATAATATCCTTGGCAATTTTATTGCAGAAATGGAAAGATTTAAAAATTTTTTAAATATTTTAACTGATTTAGATGATTGGCAAGTTCTTATTGTTGTCCCAATTCTACTGAAGTCTATCATTTGAATTTTCAAAACTATTATAACAAATATAAATGAAATCAAATAAATTTATAATCTGAACACCATAAAACATCAATTCTTTGTAGCTTTCCACATTCTATTCCAATCTTTATGTCCAGGAATTAGCATTTATATTTATAAACATAGTGAATATCAATAAACATATGAAAAAATGTTTATTCCTTTTAATACTACATCACAAGCATTTTATTGATTTAATTAGTAGGTAGTATCTTAATGTTTTAATTTTTCTTTTATGGTCTATGCAGTTGAAAGTGTATTTCAATTCTATCTTTTATTAATTGTATTTTATCTTATGAAAATTTGTTGTTGTGTAACTTGACTAATCACTTATTGAGGTCTGATTGTTGTGCATATTGTGTCTCAATGTGTATGACCTGTAGTACAGAATTACTTTTCTCTGGACATTCATAAAGATAACTGCGTCCTTCTTTCCTCTTTTATTGTTTGAGGCGAAATGAAAGCAGAATGAGAAGTAGCTTGGAGCACAGCACGTGTCGCTAAAATGAGGTCTCCAAGACCTCAGGGATGGAAAAAGGGCTTTGGGTGCCTGAGATTTGAGACCACCATCAGACAAGAGAGGAGTAGGGGCGCTGAGTTCAAATTTGGTCGATGATCTGGGACCCTTGACTTCTCTTTCCTTTGTGCTGGGCAGGGTAATGAGAAAGGCCGCGGCTCTGAAGAAGTGTGCTACTCCATCATCAATCACAGTCCCTACCGGAGGGCCTCCCTGAGCTCCAACGAAGATGGCTATGAGAACATCGACCCCATCACAAAGAGAGTGAGACCATTCACAGATGGGTCCGAAACTGAATACACCCTTCTGAGGACGACGTACCTCACGAGACCCTCTTCCTGCACCCCCGAGAATGATTATGAAGTCGTGCTTCCTCGCCAGGGCCCTCACACCTCATCGTCTTCCAGCAACAAACATGATACAGAATAGTCACCTTCAGGGGAGTCTTCCTCTCAGCATTCACAAAACATTCATTTCTGGCCAGAATTTAGAAATAGTATCCTTCTGCTATATTGCCTGGGGAAACTCTGAAACATGGCGTCTCTGTGGTATCAGCTGAAATAATGACAAAGTATTCTACATCTGTTTGTTTGTAAGATTTGAGGATATGGAGATGGTGTGGAAACCTTCCTAGGACAATAAGCATCCACAGATATATAACCTAGAATGTCCAATTCCATCCCTGCTCTCCAAATTTCAAATGCCAACATTCCCACTCCTAACTATCTATTTCATTGTCAAGGTGTAATCTACTCAATAAAGATGAATGGATAAAGTTGTGGTGTATATATATATATACACATGCACGTGCAATGTAATATTATTCAGCTATAAAAATGAAATCTTTCCATTTGCAACAACATGGATGGACCTCCAGGGCATTATGCTAAGTGAAAGAAGTCAGACAGAGAAAGACAAATACTGTCTGATCTCACTTATATGTGGAATCTAGAAAAACAAAAAAGGAACTCAGATACAGAGAACAGATTGGTGGTTGCCAGAGGCAGGGGGTGGGGGATGGGAGAAATGCAGGACAGGGATTAAAATGTACAAACTACTAGTTATAAAATAAATAAGTCAAGGGGATGTAATATATTGCATGATTACTATAGTTAATAATAGTGCCTTGCATATTTTAAAGTTGATAAGAGAGTAAATCTTAAAAGTTCTCATTACAAGAAAAAAATTTTTGTAAGTATGTAAGGTGACAGAAAAAAAAACCAATCAAGGGCTCCAATGCATGCACAAGCTTCTTTCCAGGAGATACCAGCAATCTGGAGCGAGGCAGAGGCAGAGCACAAAAACAGTGCCCACCTCAGGTCTCTGGAGAGGATTACAGTTGGCCTTTAGCTGGGTGTTTAGTTAGAAGCCTGCCCCTCTGGCCACAGCTATGAGATACTTGTGACCTGGAGGAGGCCAAGGGAGAGCCTAAAGGCCTTTGCATCTTTGGAGAACATTTCCATTAGCCCCTAGATATGTGTTAAATTAGGTACCTGACCTTCAGGCCGAAGCTTTTAAGATAAGCAAATAGGCTTGGAAAAACTGGGTGCATTTCAGTGGGCTGCCTCTGTCCTGGGCCCTGGGGGTTGACCAGGTGGGTCTGCGTGAGCCTGTAAAAACTGTCTCTCAGCTCCTGTAGCCCTGCGCGTCTCATGGAAGCAAGCCCTGTTCGCTTTCAAAGACAGGCGTTCGGGGTCTCATCTTTCAGAAGGAGGTCTTAAAAGTTGGGGTGCCTGATGTGGGGTTCAAACTCTTCACTCCTCAGGGAGAAGCTGGGTGTTGTGAGTTCCCTCTCGATTGTAGGTAGTTGCACCAGGGGTGGGGTTTATAGTGAGATTGTGTCTTAGCCTCTCTTACCGTTGGACATGGAGTTTTTCTCATTCACCTGGTGTGTAGGAGCGGCTCAGCTAGTGTTTTGGATTTCTGTCAGAGGGAATTGTTCCATATGAAGCTGTAGATTCGGTGTGTCTGGGAGGAGGTGAGTTCAGGGTCCTGCTACATCACCATCTTGCCTTGGAACCCCTGTTCATTCAACTCTTGATAGACAACTGGCTTTTCCAGTTTTTGATGCTTTTAAACAATGCTGCTATGTGTGTGTCTTATGTACATTCTTGTGCATATCCACCCAGTTTTCTCTAGGGATCTTAGAGGTGGGATTCCTGGTCAATAGTGTATGAAGATCTTCAACTCCACAAGAAAATGCCTAAATGACCCTCCAAGGCCTTTCTGAGGCCCCAAAGTCATTGCATCAGAGTTTTTGATGCTGCACATCCTTGTCTGCCCTTCATGATGTTGAAACCTGCAAACAGCCATTGATGATTAAGCAGCTAGTTAACTATGGGGGATTGGAATTTGCCAACGCAAAATATGTCTCTGCCTGAATGACATTTTGGCCCCCACCCCCACTAACTAACCAAAGGAGTTTGGGATGGGAGGCCTGCCCCCAGAATAGGCCATTACTATAGATATCTCCGGGCTACCTAGGTGGGGTCGTGCTAAACCCATTCTTAGTTCTGGTTACCCTTTATGAGAGACATTTACATTTGAAAAGAAAATCTCCATCTGTAAAATTATCTTCTTCCCTGTACCAGGAAGAAGGGGGGGGGGGTGCCCTTACCTAGAAACTTATCAGAATAGAAGGTGAGGACTTAAATCTGCATGATAAACTTACCCATTGTTAACTGTGCTGTTTAGGTAATATGCTATCTGACTCCCACTAGGTTCCTATAGGTAACATCAGAGTTGGAGTCACCATGGTAATGGATGTTTGAGCTATTTTTTCAGGAACTGAACCCCTTGTCCACTTTAGGCCGGATCGAGACCACCAACCCATCAACTGGGCCCTTTTGACGGCAAGAGGTTGGAACTCCACCCTAGGGGCATGCTAATGCTGCCATTCTGTGAAGATGTGCCCTACAAAGAAACGTGAAGCCTGACTATGCTTGTCCAGATCATCAATTACCTCATCTCTCCTCACCTCCAATCATTTCAGACCACCTTGCCCCTTCCCCATAAATACCCCTGAGTCCCTATGTTCAGGGAGGCAGATTTGAGACTTGTTCTCCTGTTTTCCTCACTTGGCTGCCTTGTGATTAAACCCTCTCTGCAATCTCGTTGGCTCAGTGATTGGCTTTCTGGGCAGCGGGCAAAAACAGACCTTGTGTGGTAACATTATCAGCCTTTTAAATTTTGGCAAATCTTATAGATAGAGGTGCGATGGTAGATGTAATCGTTTTAAACTGTGTTTTCCTTGGAAAACTTTATTTATTGACTCATTTTATGAAGCACATATTCAATCGTTTGGCTCATCTTTCCCATTGGGTTTTATCTTTTTATTGATTTCTAGGATGCGTTTATGTATGCTGGATACAAGTCCTTTGTTATTCATATGTTGCAAATATCTTCTCTCGTCAAATAGCTTCTCTCTAACTTTTTCAAATGAATTTCTTAACTGTCCTGATACTAAATTTCTCAATCTCTCACTTAGTTTAGTACTTTTTGTGTCTTGCTTAAGAAGAAATAAAATATAATGATAAATTCCAATTTATTCTTTCTATTATCTTTGTTGTTTTTCCTCTTAAATTTATAATTTATAAGTGGATTATAATCCACTCAGGTGTTTTACGTATAGTATTGAGATAGTTGTGCAATTTCATTTTTTATTATGATAAAATATACCTAACAAATTTTTTATTGTTATAAAATATACATAACATGAAGATGGCACATTTTTAAGTGTACAGTTAAGTGGCACTAAATAGAATCACAGTGTTGTGCAACCATCATCTCTATCCATTTCCAGGCTTTTTCATCATCCCAAACAGAAACACTTTAGCTATTTTATTTTTATTTGGGTATCTAATTGGCCTAGGACTATTTATTAAAAGGGCATCCCCGGGGCCGGCCCTGTGGTGTAGTGGTTAAGTTTGGCACATTCACTTTGGCAGCCCCGGTTTGCGGGTTCGGATTCCAGGCATGGACCTATGCCACCTGTCAGCCACTCTGGGGCAGCAACCCACATATAAAGTAGAGGAAGATTGGCGACAGATGTTAGCTCAGGACTAATCTTCCTCAGCAAAAAAAAAAAAAAAAAAGACATCCCTTTCCCTCCCTGATCTATCCAGCCCACTAATGACAAATCATGGATGCGTGTTCTTGTCTCTGAGCTTTTGCTTCCTTCTTTTGACCTATTTACCTCTCTGTGCCGGAATACCACATACTCTTAATTACTATTTTAGGATGTCTTGATAAATGGTAGAATGAATTCCTCCAATTTTTTTGTCTTTTCAAAAGTTTTTTTACTTTTTTCATCCCACTGAGTTTCCATATAAATTTTAGAATTAGCTTATCATGTCAACAAAGCTTATTGTATTTTATGTTATTATACTGAATCTATCATTTGTTCTTCTTCCTTTTCTCTGTCCTTCTTGATGAAAACTTTAAGATGTCTTAACTGTCATAATGGGAAGTGGATGAGATCAATTCATGCTCTCAATCTGTCGTGTTTATCTTCAGTCCTATATGTTTCTCCATATTGCTGTACATACGCTTCTTTTTTAAAAAAACAATGATGACAAGTGAACATCCATGTCCCCACCACCCAGTTTAAGATAACAGAATATCACCAATGACTTCACAACCTCCTGGGTGCAGTAGCATCTCTCTTTCCCCAAAAGTTAAGGATAAATTTTCCATCAAAATAAGGAAAAATTAAATAATGTTTCCACTTACTTCAAACTCCTAATGAGATTATTTTCTGTGGGATGAAATCAAATGGCATGCCGCAGCGTGGAACTTCCATCACACCTTGTCTGGCCGGATGACCGTCGACTTGACCCTCACCGCTCTCTCACGCCCTCTCTAGACACCAGTCTCGCAAAACTGCTTGCAAACACCTAATATGCTTTTTGGTTTCTGGGAGTTTTGTTCATTCTCTTCCTTTTTCTTGGATAGTTTCTTTACTTTCTTTTCTCATGTTTTGGCTAATTTCTACTTCTTTCTCAACAAACATCTCTTTTTCAAATAGCTCTTTTGTCCTTTCAAAGTCTGGATTAAATTCTTATTCTCTTCCCTTACATCTTAACAAGATAACTTGACACTGCATTGGCTTCACACAATTGATTCAATCTGTGACCTACCTGAGGGCAAGTTCATGGCTACATCTCTATTTTCTTGATCAGTGGCTAGAAGAAGATAAATACTCAAGAAATGACTATGAAATAAAACCTTGTTTAATAATACCTGGATGAGATTTACTTATTTAATACTTGATTTAATTCACAATGTATTTATTCCTCCAGAGGAGTAAAAAAGATCAGTAAGACATGATCCCTGCCTTCAATATCATAAAGTACATGATATTATTGTTTTATATAAGCTTACATAAAAGTATGTCAAACGTGAAGTAAATTTTGTTGGAAACAAAGTAAACTTGGATGGGTAGATTAAAATAATTATCCCAATTAAAAATATTGATTGCACAACTGTGATGTGTCACACACTCAACTAAGCGCTGGAGATGCAATGGTCAACCCACCATCACAAAGTTCAGAATCCAGAGTAACAGATAGGCATTAAAAAATAGAGTGTGCAATTTTGTGATAGTTTTTAGACGCCAGAAAGTAAAACAAAGGGCATGATATAAAAAGATCTGTTTCAGATTGGCAGTATGGAAAAGGTGCCTGAGGAAAAGTAGGACGAGCAGGCAGACTTTGAGAAGAACATCCCATCTTAGGGAAGGGCGGTTTAAAATGCCTCAATATAGGGAGTAAATTGAAGTGTGAGAAA